CATAACACGATGAGCAAAGCTTTTGCAATATTCTACATCGCCCTGGGTTTCATAAATTGAAATAGATAATGCAAATACAAACACGAGTTTACTCGTGACCGATCAACAAGGTTTAGGCATGAAAACACGAGTTGTCGAGTTGTCGAGACCGGTCAACAATGTGTTAAAATAAAAACAATCAAAAATATACATACACTCAGAGAAGAAAACTCCCGAGCGATTACTTTGTTGGGAGCGCTGACGATCCGAGTCTGCTCCAAAATAAATCCCAACGAGAGGCATTAATAATCGCCGCTACTTGTTTTCATACGCGGCATCCGTTCGTCGTTAACAACGATACAAGTAAACAAATAAATTAATTAGAGAAAAATCGAAACAGAAATACGACGGATCGAAAGGCTGAACATGCGCGCGATGGTGCGCGTCGAGCGGCCTCAGCATCGGAGTCGATCTCGAAGAGGAGGAACGACAGGAGGCGTGGCGAGGACGCGCACACTCCACGTGACCCTGTGTTGCTGTAGGCGGGACTTACGAAACTGGGCACACAATTACAACAGCAGTGGAACGGGCTGGTGGTCTCTCTGTCGTCGCGCGCGCGGAACACCTCGAGTTGCGCTCGTTCCGCGTACAACACCTGCCGATTGCTCGCTCGTGCACTCGTTACGTCCATCCGTGACTTTTCAATAGTGCCGTAAACGATCGCCAGACTCGAGAAAAAATAACGCACCATGGACGGTAACAACACTCCAACCGATACGAGCCGCGTCCACGCGAAACAACAAGGCTGATCATCCCCCAAAAAGCATAATCTCGTGGAAGGAACCCGTGGCGACAACATCGATCATGTTGCTACCCCAAGACATGATGGCAGCCCAGTCGAAGATGCTCTATCAGATGAACAAGTACTACGGCGAGAGAGTGCAAGCTCGCATGGGCCAGGTACAGAAGACCATCAGGGAAGTGTGCAAGGTGGTGCAGGACGTGCTGAAGGAGGTCGAGGTTCAAGAACCGCGCTTCATCTCATCCCTGACGGAGTGCAACGGCCGCTACGAGGGCCTCGAGGTGATCTCGCCCGGCGAGTTCGAGGTGGTCCTCTACCTGAATCAGATGGGTGTGTTCAACTTCGTCGACGACGGCACCCTACCAGGCTGCGCCGTACTGAAACTCAGCGACGGACGGAAGAGGTCCATGTCCCTTTGGGTGGAGTTCATCACGGCGTCGGGCTACCTGTCCGCCAGAAAGATACGCTCGAGGTTTCAGACCTTGGTAGCGCAGGCCTGCGACAAGTGCGCCTACAGGGACTCCGTAAAGATGATAGCGGACACGACAGAGGTCAAGTTACGGATCAGAGAGAGATACGTGGTGCAGATCACTCCGGCGTTCAAGTGCTCGGGCGTTTGGCCGAGATCTGCGGCGCACTGGCCGATCCCTCACATACCCTGGCCTTATCCTAATCTCGTGGCCGAGGTTAAGACCGAGGGATTCGATTTGTTGTCCAAGGAGAGCGTGGCCCTGCAGGGCAAACAGTCCGCCATGGAGGGCGACGCCTGGGTTCTGTCGTTCACGGAAGCCGAGACTAGACTGCTCCACGGCGGCTGTCGCAGGAGATGTCTGAGTATACTGAAGACACTCAGGGATAGACATCTGGATCTTCCTGGGAACCCGGTGACCAGCTATCATATGAAGACCCTGCTGCTATACGAATGCGAGAAACACCCCCTCGAAACCGAGTGGGACGAGGGATGTCTCGCGGACCGTATCAACGGCATCTTCCTGCAGCTGATATCCTGCCTTCAGTGTCGAAGGTGTCCCCATTACTTTTTGCCTAACTTGGATCTGTTCAAAGGAAAGTCGCCCAGCGGGCTGGAAAACGCCGCGAAGCAAGTGTGGAGACTCACCAGGGAGCTCCTGACGAACAGTCGAGCTCTCGAGAAGCTTTAGCCGGAGACTGTTTAGACCGATAAAGTTTCGCGCGTTCGGGATGTTGCTTTCGCGGCGGTTTTATCTGCTTTTGTAACCCTCGCCACAGGCGAGGACGGTCCGCTTCCAGTCGTTATTTTCTACTTGCTTGAACGCGTCGGGTTATGAGGATGGTGGACCGCGCGCCTTGATGCTTTACTGCCTACTGGGCTATTTCTGGGTCGAATGGGATGCTCATAAAATTCTGTAGCTTTTGAATAAAATTCTAGGCTAGAATTAACTTGTGCAGACTTGTGCAGGAACCATGGGGTTTCTTTGCACATATGCTAAGGTAGCTAATATGGATGGGTCTTGATTTTGCATTACTGTTTCCAGAGATTGTTGGAAAAACAAGAGTAATAATATTTCTCAGGTTTAAACGGAAAGTGATTCTATTTTCGAATATGCTTAGAATCTTATCGGTCTCCTCAGTTTGAATATTAAAGATCCTATGAATAGACTCCTGGAAGGTAAAGCGTTAGCGTTGGTGTCGTATTTGGCGCGAATCGAGAAATTTGACAGTTATCAGCCTCTGTCATGTTCACGTAAGTTCGCGAACTCGATCGATCGCTCTAACATCTAAGTGAACACACGGATCCAGCTGTAAGCTGGTTGCGTGGGTAAATTCCTCGTTTGAAATCACGATTTTTATATCTACACTGGCTCTGTATTTGAGATGTTGAATGGAATGGTGTTCTTTCCAGAAGTGACCGGCGGTAGGCAGACAGTTAAGTGTTAATCGTGTTGTTTTTCTTCTTGTTTGGCAAAATTTGACAATTTCTGACATGTCCTAAACGAAAGTTTCTAATAAATGGGGGTTGTTAAATTTTCATCGAACAAATCGAACGAGGGATGTGTAATTTCAAAATTATCGATCACCAAATGTTTACACAATCGAAGCTTCAGCTTGAAAAACTGGAATGTCAGCGTTTAACTAACGCAAATGATGCCACGCACTCGAGCGCCGGGTTTGTCCACATAGCGTTACAATAATACGGGCGATTAATTAACTACTCCGTTAGCTACTCTTACCTGTTTAATATGGCTGATGTGAATATCGTCGTGTGATCCGTTGTCGTTATTAATGTAATGTTTATAATCGGTTAGCAGCGAGCTTCCGACGGTAGTTGGACACTACGCATTGTTATATGTACATACTTTTTTATATTATTTAAACGATATTTATTTTTACTCGAATCGCTGTTCGAACACATGACTGTAAATAATTAATAAACGCATTTCGTCTCGTAACTAACATCTAAGAGTCAATTCAAAGAAACCCTAAAAATTGTCTTACTAAACAGTTGAAAACTGCACAATCTACCATTCCTCGTAGTACTATTTTTTTTCGACACCTCACCCTTGTAATGAATTTTGAAGTAAAGTGTAAAGAGAAGTATACATTATAGCAAAGTACAGATTCACTCTGCCATTAACTTAACCTTGCCTAGCACTCTATTCCATCGCTATCGAACACCCAGTAGTCTTTATCTCCACGATCCCTCATTATGACAGCTAACGAATCGACTATAATTTTTCAACGTCCCCTGCGATCCGAGGCACGCCAATGTAAAAGACGAGGATATAAAACCAACGAGCGCGTAATTATTATCTACGATATTAACACTTCTGTACGCGCTTGAGGAGATTGAAACGCCTCGTCAAAGTATCGCTACCGAGTTTCATGGCCGCTACACGCCCACGACGGACGGCCGGCTCTTATCTTAATTCACTCCTGAAATTTCTTCCCTTATCTTTCACCGCGACTACGACACGCTGCCACTCAGTTTCCACGGCGCGGGTACGCGATCGTTACGGAATTTACGTTATTATTATTGCCCCGTAAAACAAAGTGAAAGGAGCAAGAGAGAGTTTCCGCGGCGAACGCGCCCCAATGAACCACACTTTACGCGCCGTATCTCGCAGTTCCCTCCGCGATTTACAAGCCTTAATGGTAGAGTTATCGGTGTCGTCGTTAAACGTAGATTTTATACCGACTTTTTGCGCCTGTGACCAGGCCGGTTCTCAATAAAACGGCTGTAAATAAAGCCAGCCCGTGCCCCTTCCACGTACCTTCTGATAAGTCAGGATACTGCTCTCAGCCCGACCGCGGACGAATTTCTTATTTTAGCGACGATGAGAATACGGCCAGTGAAATCTCACAACACATTCTCGATGTAGGAACTTTTTAACCATTTCTGTTGTTTGAGCCAACAAATGTACCACGTGCCACTTTTTAATATGTCATATAATGTTTCACTGTACTTAAAGAAAAAAAATTAGAGAGTTTATCCACACGTGTCGCAACTTTACAACTAACAAGATTCGCTTATTTATATTGGTGCTACAGTTATGCAATAATTGAAAATCACTATTTCGAGTGTCTCGTGTCGCAAATAAAAGCAACTTTGAAAAGATTAATATTAAACGCATTATTTTTCATATTCTTTCAGCTCATATGATTAATCCTTTTTCATTTTCACTGGACAAACTGACAAATTTCAAAATATGAGTGGTGTTATAGTTTTGCCCCACAGTGTATATCTAACCTTCCATTGGTATCTAAAAATTGTTCTCCAGACATTTCGTTCATCCCTGCGAGCTGTTTAAAGGGAACAGAATCGTACGAGAAACCAAAAATCCATTGCTGGTGGTAGCTACCCAAGCGTGATCCCTGGATCACGCGGTCTCCACCATGACGAAAATTTCGGAACAGCTCGAAAGGGGTTGCGGAGGAATGGCCGAGCTCCGAGCGTCCACGGGCACGAAATAAAACGAGTCTAATCTGCATAATTCATGGGGGAAGAAGGGTTCGGGTTTGGGGTTAGCCGCGCTGCTGCCTTCGTCCTTCGACGAGCAGCGTAATGTATAGGTAGAACGAGCAGCAGGATCGATCTTGTCGGTTCGCAACGACAGGCCACGCCTCTCCTATGCAATCTTCCACGGGATTGGTCGACCAGTGAAGCCACACGGCGTGGCCTGAGTGAGGGTTGTATACTCAGCACGCCTTTCCTCTGTCCAAGAGCGGGTGGAGCGGAGGAGGTGAACGACAGCGCAGTCGACAATCTGCTCCTGCACGGAGTCCCTCGCACACCTTCTCCTTCTGCTTTTCGCTCGTGTCTCCGACGCTCACCGGCGTCACTTCAGCGTCGCGACGAGGAAAAACACCACTGGGAACGAGGACGGAACGGATTTTCAATTTTCTCGGTCCTTCACGACCGAAACCCTCGACCACGGTCCAGAGCCGTACCAAAAACTAAATGGAACGTCGACGAGGAACCGCGTCTCTCTGAACTAACGAGAGTGTAGGTCCGGACGAGGACCCTTCGAGCAAGATGCGGTGATCGGTGACGAAATTCGTGACAGAGAAGCCGTTCGAAGGCTTCAGGCCGCCGCAACCATGCTGTTGCCGGCCGATATGCTGGCGGCCCAGTCCAAGATGGTGTACCAGATCAACAAGTATTTCGGAGAACGGGTGATGACCAGGAAAAGCCAAGTGATGAAGACGATCCAAGAAGTATGTCGCGTTGTGCAGGACGTACTGAAGGAGGTGGAGGTGCAGGAGCCCAGGTTTATCTCTTCTCTGACGGACTACAACGGTAGATTCGACGGGTTGGACGTGATCTCGCCGACGGAGTTCGAGATCGTGATCTACCTGAATCAGATGGGGGTTCTGAATTTCGTGGACGACGGCACGCTGCCTGGTTGCGCGGTGCTGAAGCTCAGCGACGGACGGAAAAGGTCTATGTCCCTCTGGGTGGAATTCATCACCGCATCGGGATATCTGTCTGCTAGGAAGATACGCTCGAGGTTTCAGACCCTGGTGGCGCAGGCCTGCGACAAGTGCGCCTACAGGGACTCCGTGAAGATGATAGCTGATACGACCGAAGTGAAGCTCAGGATTAGAGAAAGATACGTGGTGCAGATCACGCCGGCGTTCAAATGCGCTGGACTCTGGCCCAGATCGGCCTCTCATTGGCCTATAGCACACATACCATGGCCCCATCCGAACATCGTCGCGGAAGTGAAGACAGAGGGTTTCGATATGCTGTCTAAAGAGTGCATAGGTCTGCAGGGCAAGCAGTCCGCAATGGAGGGCGACGCCTGGGCGTTATCCTTTATAGATGCTGAAAATCGATTGCTCCAAGGGGCCAGCAGAAAACGTTGCCTAAGCATCTTGAAAACCCTCAGGGACAGACACCTGGATCTACCTGGAAATCCTGTCACCAGCTACCACATGAAAACCTTATTGCTCTACGAGTGCGAGAAACACCCTCACGAGGTCGAGTGGGACGAGACGTGTATCGGCGATCGTATCAATGGGATTCTATTGCAACTGATCTCGTGTTTGCAGTGTCGCAGGTGTCCTCACTATTTCTTGCCAAATCTGGATCTATTCAAAGGAAAGTCGCCCAGCGGGCTGGAGAACGCGGCCAAGCAAGTGTGGAGACTCACCAGGGAGCTGCTGACCAACAGCCGCGCTCTGGAAAAGCTGTAGCATGGAACCACTGAGGAATATTTCATTTGGACGTGAAGGGAACTCACGAATAATCGAGTCGATGGATTGGTCTTCGCTTCAATCACATCGGAGGATTACTCTAGACGACATTCGTCGACGACTCTGTGCCCGAATACGTGTAGTGTGTGCTCGCGACTATTGTTTGGCGAGAGTAATTGCGCGTGCATGTGTGATTCTGTGATCCACGGGCCAAGCAACGATCGAATCAGTGCCATAAAATACGCTGACGTTGCGCATTTGTTTTCGTTTCGCAGCAGGAACGTTCTTCGATCCGCGAGAGGTCTCCGACGGCAGCTCGTATCGAGTCTTCAGCGTTAGCTCTTAACCGGTGGTAACCTTTTTTTCCTTTACGAATTGCTAGTTAGTCGACGTCGGGGATGAGCAAAATTTTTATGTAGTAGAATTTGTGCTTATCTGAATAAAAGATAAACGTTGTTGGTCGTCAAATGAAAGTTTCAATTTAAATTACAAGATGAAATCTTTTAGGATGAACGAATAAGGAGTTGAGTGTTCGATAGAATAAATGGGAATAAATCGCTGTTCTTTGGCTCCGTTTATTACGAACCCTTTGGCGCCACTGGGTTTGATTTATGTTAGATGTTGTTTAACGTCGTTATGATTTGACGATTGTGCAAAGAAATTGTTTCTAAATTCATCGTTATACCTAAAAGATCGCCAAGTAAATTAATAGTCCGTGATTCGAATGGAATTTTGCACGTCTCTGGTGGACGTTACACAATCGGAGCAGAAGCATGAAAGCGCGGAACGATCCGACTGGTTCTCGCGAGACCATGATAATACGGAGCCGACGTTTTCCGAGTCACCGGTTACGGGTTCGTTTAGTCTTCTCTTCTAATCGACTGTCCTGTCCCCGCCGCTATGTAAATACATCTTAAAAGATATTTATTGAAGTGTACACGAAAATTGTGAAATACAATGCTATTTATATGGAACCGTATACCACGGTGTGCGATTGTCGTCATTTCGTCTCACGAGCACCACCCACTCCTTTCACCTACGAACTACGAGAGATCGAGCATGGCCGTAAATATCGATCGTTAAACGTTTCGGTGCGACGATGGAGCTAGGCCTCGTAAATTTTACGCCTGATTCTTGCGCCTTTTTGTGCCTCGCCACTGGAGATCGAGAGGAACCAGGCCCAGACCTCGCGGAGGAATAAAATTCCAAAGACAAATTCCGTTTCGCTTCGAGGAAACGAAACGTTTTAATGCGGTCGCCTGTCGATTTCGTCGACGGTAATAATTTTTGTGGTGTTTTGTCTAAACAAATTTTAGAAATATCGTGCACGGGTTAGAAACGATCGAACGAGGTCGAGTATCGATTAAATGCGCGATTTGCTTTTGCGTTGAATTCGACTTTACTTGGAACAAATAGAATTTTTCATGTGTTGTTAAGTATGTTGTTGTGTTTTATGTGAATTAACTTGTCGATCTGTAGGATTCACTGCAAGAGTTTCAATATACTGCATTTTACTAATTAGAGATAAACGTATAGATCACATTTTCCATAAATCTGTCTTTAGTTTCGCTTTGAATTCGACTTTACTTGGAACAAACAGAATTTTTCATGTGTTGTTAAGTATGTTGAATTTTTTGTGAATTAACTTGTCGATCTGTAGGATTCACTGCAAGAGTTTCAATATACTGCATTTTACTAATTAGAGATAAACGTATAGGTCACATTTTCCATAGTAAAAATCGAATTAACTGGATAATGAATATTATTGTCCCTCAAAAGAACTAAATAAAATTTCAATTAATTCATCGTGAATTTGTTGCGGTAAAATATATTGTCCCAAGTATAGGTATATTTTGATATTTTCTAATTGCTCCCAATAGTTTTCACACGCATGATCGTTTTCCTTCTTAGTTTCCTTGTATGCATTCGCACTTGGATACCCCTGGTCGTTTTCTGAAAATCTATTAGCTAGACGGCTACCAGTTTTACTCCTCGATAAGCAAATTTCGCGTTATCTAAACAAGCCGACAACGGTGCGTTATTTACACGTCGCTCGTTGTCGTTTTCACGGTCAGCTGCATTGGAATTAGCTGATAAATCCATTGTAAAATTTGAAAAACGATTGTTACGCGACAATAAACGGCGCTTATCGTGAAGTACTACCGCTTGTAAGAAACGTGTTTCATACCAGTCGTGGTTAGAATCCGAGCTTAATGTAAGCGTGCCTAATTTCGATCAGGACATTCGATTTCCAATTCATTTCGTTATTATCGGGAATTAGATCTGTAGAAAATAAAGGGAACATTTCGTAAATTGATGGAAATTGCCGAGAATTTATTTTCACGAGTTTGTTATCACGTTTCGATGCCATTTGAAATATGACAGAGCTACTCTAAATCTATTGGAAGTATACTGTGCTAATAAAAGCTGACACTGTGTTAGCTAAATGCAGCAGGTGTGAAGTCGGTTCATAAGCCCTCTTAGCACGATGACTTTTATGTGATTACTAACAGTTTCACGAAATGGTTACCAATTTTACTCTTTGAAACTGTGTATTTTACTAAAATACTAAAAGATCACGTACAGTCAGTGTAATAAGTATTCGTAGAGTAACCCATTTAAAATAAATGGTTCCTGTACGAATACTTATTACACTGACTGTAGGTTAAATCGAAATCAATGAAGCTGAAGTTTCGGAATTATCTAACCGAGAATATGATAGATAACGAAGCAATTTTAGTTTTAAGTCCCTCGTTAGAATGACTAAAATTACGAAACAACAGTGTCGCATTGTGCATAAAGATAACGCAATCAACACGAGGGCATGTGACGTTATTTATAGCTTCGTTTTAGCGGCATTTGCATTGTTACTTCAACATACTGCAAAATATATTGAAAATAAATAAGCGTTTGTCGAGAGATGTTATTATCGAGTATTTACAAAACTTGTATTATTTTTTATCCATCATTTAAAACATATATTTTATATAATTTTACTAAATAGTTGACATATCAATATCTAAAATATCTTCCCTGTATAAATATATATATATTTTTTTACGATATGCAACTGCACCAGGTTGTTTTGTGCCAGTGGTTTTCAAACTTTTTGTAACACACATAGAACTGAATTCGTATATCAGTAATTTGTTTCGAAAACGAACACTTCATTTTTAGAATTATATCTAAGTTGCTAGTGATTCGCACAAAAAAAATGGCCATGGTGCATAAAATTGAAAAGATAAAGAACCACTGGATTAGGCGATATCTTACTCGACAGAACACAGAAATGAATGGACGAAAACGAACGAGAGGAAAATTTATGCGTGTAATCGATTTTGACTGTCCGCATCTCCGCCTAATTGATGCAAACGAGCGCAAATCTGACAACAATTCAAATAACAATTACTAATATCCGTGTTTACCGAGCGTGTACCGATGAAACTTCAAATAGCCTCGCGAAGGAAAACAAGAAAGTGGATAATCCATAAGCAACGATCGGATCTGCTATTCCATCTCAATAAACGTCTATCAAATACATGCTACTTACTAATCAAGGACTATCGGCTACTCGATTAATAACGCTATCTAATGAGCGTCAATATTCGATAAATCATGCGATCAGCTGCTACATTGAATTTATTTCTGGAAAAGGTGCTCACTTCTTAAGGAAACAAGACACTTAATTGAACATGATCTACCACTTTTCGACTTTTCACGCACGTTAATTTGTCAATTTATGAACTCATTCTATTCACCGTCTCATGGAAACCAGACGCATACTTGACTTAATTAATTCAAGCGATTTAATGAAGTCAAACTTTGCCAACTATTAATTACAGGCTTCTTGATCAATCTATAATTACGAACGAATATAGAACTAGATAAATTATTCCAACTTCTCAGTTCTAAAGTTTAAATTTTTACATTCACCTTTGTTAAAATTATTATTATTCATGATTTCCTTAAAAACGAAGAAAAAATGAGCAAATCTCTAAAGCACTTTTTTTCTTAGTTTCTGGATGCCCCTCATGCTTCCAAAGTTTTGACACTTAAATTAGGGACACCTGTACAAGCGATAATGTTTTTCCCATTGTGTACAGCTTGAGTTTTATTTTTCTTTAACATCGAAGTGTCTCGAAGAGTTATCCATCGAAATAAAGAAACAACGAATCAACAATGAAAGAGTAGCTATCTTCCTTAGGCAATCACAATTAGGTTTATCAGATATTTAGAACAACACGCCATAGCACACGCGCATAATTTCCCCGTTATGCGACCAAGGTTTTAGAGAGTCACCAGTCAACTTTTGTTCTCCGTCTTATTTCTCGTCACACTTGCGGTAATCGTCGCATAAACATGCAAATTTATTCATCGTGGTAATTTGTCGTATGACTGCTTAATATTTAATACACGAACGAGAGACCAGTAATATCGTTCGCGTCAAGGAATTTCAAATTTGGAGACAATCTTATAATCTCGTGTTCGTTGTTTGTCTCTCTAGTAGCGTTAATTGACACGTGGAACACGGACCTTCTAAGAAATGACCATGTTGTTGCGTTACTTATTTATTTCGAAGGAAACGCAGATTTTCCGTTTGGCTTGACCGTCGATCCTGAGATTAAATCGATCGCAACGGAGACCGGGTAAATAGCACGCAGCACGCAAATAAACGTACAGCGATGTACGCAACCCTCAATAAGAGACCACTGGTGTTTAGATGCCAATAATTCGTTAACCTAATGTGGAGAGAATTGTTAGCAGTGAAAAGGTGTGCAATAAACATCGAGTTTTATTACCCGTTCTGTAGAAAGTATTTCTTGTTCAGTGTTACTGTAAATAAAGAGATAGATCAGTTAAGATAGTTGGAATACTCGTTGTTCGCAATGTTATATTTCTATGATTTTGATTGAGTTTTGAATTTGTTCAAAATTGCTTCGAAATCAATGAAGAGTTATCCATCGAAATAAAGAAATAACGAATCAACAATGAAGGAGTAGCTATCTTCTTTAGACAATCACAATTAAGTTTACAAAATATGTATTAACAAATATGTGCCTTAGCTCACACGCGAATTTCCCCGTTACGCGACTAAGGTTTCAGAGAGTCACCAGTCAACTTTCATTTTCTGTCTTATTTCTCGTCAAATTTGAAGTAATAGTCGAATAAACTTAATAAAAAATAATCTCCATGGAAAAATATATACATTTCAAGCAATTACCAGAAAATCTTACTCTCCTCAGCATTGTATCGGTTGACTCCAAAATGTTTCGGATAGGTCCTTTCAATTGACAAAGGAACAATCGAATCGATTAAAGCAGCGAACAAACGGGATTACGAAATCCATGGGGCCCAGGAAGGGGTCGAGAAATGGGCCCCTCGCGGTCTATCGAAAAGGAAGCGGCGAAATTACGACCACAGAACGGTCGAAGTTATCGAAGCGGCGAGAAACACGACGGAGCGACGAACAAGTCGAGTGAAAAAGGAGAGACGAAGAATTGGGAAGGGTGGGGAAGAGAAGATCCAGACATGGTATGCTAATGAGGGTACCAGCTTTCCTCTTTTTTGTCGCGACGTTCTTGCGAGCCCCATACAGATTCTATACATCGAACCGCCTCTCACGATCCGGTCTTGAAATTCGTCCTCGCCGCGTTGGATCCTCGTGGCAGCGGGGAAACAAAGCCAGAAATCTGTGAAAACAGACCTTTCAATTGGCGCCGCCCGATCGTCGATGCTACAACGAGGGAAGAGGATATAAAGAAGCGGAGCCGAACACGGACAGAACAGAAACAAAAAGAAGAGTAAGCTTCAACTCTCCTGCTGAATATTCTGCGACTTCTCTGGCCAAAGACACTAATGAATTTCCTTATTATATATGAGCACATGAAAAGGTAAAAGTGAAGAAAGTAGAATTTTACGGGGAAAGAGATCAGAAGCCATAAGAGATTGAGTACTACTGACAAGGGAAGTTACTCAGAT